TAGTCTAGAGTGTGTATAGGGATTGGACATGTGGGGGGGTTACCATCGGCCCCATATCGTTCATGGTATCTAAATTTCTCATTCTTGTGCAGACATTTTAAAGAAAATAATTGCTGACAAATATAGTCCATCATCTTCAAGCAAACTTGCATTCTCAATTCTGATCAATCCATGGCAACAACCAGTGTTACAAATTGTGTCGCCCGGTCTCTGTCAAACCCCTCATAATGCATTGTTTAAACTCCATGAAATGTGCTATTTTTGTACTAAAAGCACAATGCACAACTGCAAAATTTACTGTGAATTCAAAGGCGGCACAATTGCGCACATAGGCCCCGGTAACATCTTTACTGTGCATAGAGTCTGCTTGAAGATAAATCACACTTCTGGAACACAGAATAACCTTGTGCATCTGTGTTCCACTCCCACTCATGTAATAACTAATAGTTAAGTGAACAACAATGCTCTGGATCTTGTCAAACATTTCATAAACTAAGAGAATTTACAAGTGAGGACACCTTCTTGTATGCATCATTTGGGATGGTTGTGCTTAACATGTTACAATGGTTACCCAGACTTTCTAACAATTCACCTTAATTTTTTGTGGCTCAGCCCAATATCATGGCCAATAAACCTAAACAAAGTGATGTCGCACTTTGTTTACTTGTGCACTTTCCTATGGCAGCACGATGAATCACGTCTCACCTCACTGCCATAGGAAAGCACACATGTAAACAAAGTGTGACATCATCATGTTTAGGTCGATTTAATTGCCTCAAACTGGGTGCAAATCTCCGTGTTGCAGCTGACCAGTCACAAGACTAGACACAAGACTATTCACGAGTAACAGGGAAAGAAGTCAAAGGGATACTTTCGTTGCAGTTCTTTTTAATAGCTTGTGAGTTCATTTCAGATTGGTGGTCTTGTGTTAGTCTTGACTACAACACTAGGAAATCTGCACTGATGCCTACATTCTGTGCTTCAAGGAAAGCACGCAATGAAAATACACAATAGTCTTTCCATCAAAGGCATTTACAAGACACCATATATTTTGTCTGCTCATTACACATATCTGCTTAGGAACAGCTGATTGAGTGGTTTGGGTGTGTAGATACAATGGGGGTAAAACTGGAAATGTAAGAAACTGTATACATTATGGCATGGGTGGCTGGATATGATTCCATATCACAGCAAATTAGTATGTTAAGTTTATTACGTGTAAAGCATGTAAAGTACGTATAAATAAATTTCTTGATACGGCAGCTGCATGTACACACATGTCCAGATATATTCTGCTGATTAAACTTCAGGTACAACTGTCACTACACAACTGGTCAGAGGATTTATACCCTGACATTTTCTGTATTAAACTACACTTTAAGTGATTGCTAGTATTCTACACGTTTTTTTTGTTACCCCTGTCACTGTGTTATCCGGGGTTATGTCTCACATTGAGGTCTAGTACCCAAGATACCTGGCAGTGTGGATGAGTATTTTGAGTGCGACAATGCTGGAAGTGAGCTGACGCTGACTATATCAGAGGACCAATTTCTGCTCTGGATAACTTTACAATGGAGCAAGGATAGCACAGATGTACTAATGGTTCTTTCCTTCCCTTTCTCACAGGTGATCACTGACTTCACACTCAAGCCCCAACGAAATATTAATAAATTGGGAGCATTGGGTTAATTTTAGATAGTTGCCACTGATATTTTTCCAACCAATCAACTATTTATGTACTTGGCCGGTCTTGCATGTTAGTTTAAGACCAGCCAAGCGCATATTTATTCCTATTCATAATTACCTTTTTAGTCAGAGAGTCAAAAGAAATCATTATCTGATGGTTTTCCAACGATTTTGTTCAAGAATTTTTTTTTCATTTTTCCCGAACACCCCCGTTCATTTTATGGTATATTCCTCATGCAAGTTGTCCAAAAGAATCTCCTTATATGACTTGGTGTGCATGTGGCTAGCGCTGTGCACACAGACTCTTGTATCAACAGGGCATTATCGAATGTTAATACACAGTCAGTTGCACACTATTTTTATGAATATAGGTTTGTCCACTCTCAAAAAAGCTATTATGACACCTTACCACAATTTCATGAAGCTGCAAGGCACAGATACTGGCTGAGAACTGAGACTTTCTGCTTAGGAAAAACAGATTACTAACCAAAATATCATGCAATATATACTACCAGTGACTGGTCCTCTGCCAGCTTATCCTTAGCACATAAATGCATTGACCAAGCAGCCTAGTGTAGCTGGGCCAGAAATGCATGCTTCAGACTATCATGTCATATGTGACTTCCAAACTTAATGTCTGAAATTCTATCCACCTGTGGGACTTGCTTTCCAACACTAAAATGTCAGATTGAGAAGCACATGGTCCACTCTAACCTGTGCTACAAGTACAACGTAATAGCTCAAAGAAATGAGCTACTGGGCTTTACTGGGACAAGTTTGACTCACGAGTTTCATATGTTGAGAGAAATGCTGGTGTTAATGTAAACAAGTAGAGGCATCCTATAAACAAATCCAATGAGATGCCACTCCCAGGGACCATTAACACTCATCCAGCTGTCTCAACCTGAGCGTGCAGGCGCACTTCGGCACTTGACCACTGCCTATTAGTCAAGGAGGAATCTCACGCGTGCACACTGTCTGCATGCGAACAGGATGGCCGTGTGGTAATGGCTTCTAATTTTGGTTGTCGGATGTGTCTATACCACACACAGTGACAGCCAAGTCAGGGTAAATTTTGTATGGGACCTTTCCTTACATTTCCAGGGGAACACCCAACAAATAGCCCCAAATTGCCATCTCTGGTTTCAAACAAAATGGAAAAATATTTCTATACATTTTCTACAATAAAAAAATAGTTGGTTTCCAATGTCAGAAATACATGGTATTTGTCTACATTGCCTGCTTGAGAAATTCTGTACCAAATTCTGTCTTGGTTTGGCATTGGTACCATGCAACTATCTCAACTTTCCTTCAACATAATACCTACAGTGTCTGATTCACCATCTGTATGAATTGCAGCTCTTAGAGCCATTTAGTAATGATTTCAATATGCCAGGAATCAAAGAAACTGACGAAGATCATAAATCTTTCCTATCTTACACTTTGAATTATTCAAACTGTAGTTAATACCAACAATTTATTACTAGTTACATATTTTTATTTTATAGCTGTAGGTACAAATGATACCATTCAAAGTGCCAAGTTAGAATATGTACAGAAGTTTAGGCTCTTAATATTCAGGTAATTCCCTTTCTATTCAAGAGCATTTTTTGTCTTCTTGTTAAAACATGTACTGATCACTCGACATACAAATTAATAAGTCAAGTTTATGCCCTGAACAACAAACATGTAAAGAAAGCGACACTGGAAAATAAAGATATTGTAAGCCTGAATGTTGGGGTAGGGTACCCAGAGGGCTAAGAGGGACTTCTGGTACCTGGTCCCAACTCATATGTTCTATTATCCCCAAAGGCCTCATGCCCTGCCAAGGGAAAGAGGACTAAGTAGTTCCATTACCCCAATATGAGGGGAGTACACACAGCGAGCAAAACCTGTGTTTACTTTAAGTAGTCACACACATCATTGCGGCATTTGGGAGATGACCTACTTGTGTTTTTAACTGTTCCCCTTATATGTGCTCATTGTTTTCCTGTACCAGTTGGGAAGCCATGTATAAGCTCAGGGCTGTGACAACAGAGGAGCACAACCAGCTACCTAATATTTCTTATCAAGCCATCCATTCTGCTCTGGTGGGCATCTGCTTGCCTGCCTGGGACAATATCTAGGTGCTTGGTGCTAAAGCTATCCTCAAATGTATAGCCTTAAATATAGGATATGGTACATGTTACGTTCAAGAAAAGTGCAACATGCATGTGAAGACCAAGTATTGGCTTGAATGCAACAAAGATATTTTCATGCACGATGATAAGTTGGTAATAACTTTGTACACAGACGTGTGGCAGTTCAATACTGATGCAAATTCAATTTCTAGAGCACAATACAACAAAACTATGGGGATCAGTTTTACACCAAAGGCCAAACTGAATGAGGTTGAGACAGACTGGGGGTGGAAAGTTAACAGCTACTGAGATGTCACTTTGTAAGTGTGGCATTTAAATGCAAGCCCTGTTTCAGAGGCTGGCTACAGACACTAACTGAACAGGATTAATGAATGGTTTGGCTCACGTGAAAAGAAACAAGCATTGTGCCAATCTAATCCAAGACAGGATTCAACTATGCCGTTAATTAAAGGTGGAATGACTTATTCTTTACTTCAATCTGTCCATTTTCTTTTCTTTGCTATGAAAAAAAGCTTGTGCATGGCTGAGCCTTCTGTGGAGTCAGCCAGCTTGCACAACATCACACTGCAGTTATACCATTTGGGTTCATTTCTACATGCATAACAAATATAAAATGCATACCTTCAAGTCGTACAACCATTAAATAATTCACAATGGATCCTCTTCACATGGGTTTCTGATTTGTATATTCAATCTCGCATCTTTTCATCTGATCTATGGTTTACTGCCCGTTGAAGTAAATGTATATGAATTTACTTTTGACTTAAAAACTGTAACCAAGCCAAAAAAAAAAAAACTCTTCTTTCTTTTCAGATGTACATCTCTTTCATCGTGAAACGGTCTGTGTTTTGAGAAAGCACAGAAGTGAGTCCAAACAAATGTACTTGATGATACCTTCTTCTGACCACAACCAAGGCCTTAAAGATTACAATACTAGCATATGCTGGATTCCAATCAGTTCTTAATTCATAGAAATTTAGTGGGCTGAAACATGGAGCATCTACTCAGCCCAGGCCGGGAGCCATCTGTGTTTTCCTACTGTTGTTGCGTTCCAGCATGTCATAGCAGGCCTTACAGACCCTCTCCGGCTGGTAGAGTTGTTCCTGGGGGATAGGCGCTGTGTAGCTGGTACAGGTACTGCAGAAGACCTGGCCACAGCTCCTGAGGGAAACAGGGGAGGAAACAGTACATCTGGTGAAAGTCAACGTTTACCAAAGTTTTAGAAGTAGATTCAATGTTCTAGTTATGCAGGAAGGCTTGATAAGCCATAAACATGGTAAGGATGATGTCCCACTGCTCACAGAAACTCTCTTACCACAAATTCCAAAACCATTTCACATTGGAGGGCATGTAAACACGATCTGGCAATCTGTATTGGCAGGGACAACAAACGGGTTAAACCAACAAGTATTCCTTGAATTTCTGGGGGGGGTTGGGTGCAAACACATCCCTAATTCTGCCATCTGTTTTGCAGACACGTCCAAAAAGTCTGTGTAAGGAGGCCACTTGTAGAACATGAACTTGACCACAGTAAATGACCTGTTGTAGGATGTATCACTCCATAATGATGCCCCAAGGTTTTGCAAAATACAAGGTTGTGGTGAAAAATATAAAACCAAATGTTCCAATGACCCTTACGAGTCAGCGCTTGCAGCACTGGCTGGATTTGAAGAGTTGGCTGCTCTTTTTTTCAAAAGTCGCAAATAACACTGTCAAAAAGTTAGGTTCTTGGGCAGAAATAATGAGCAAAAGATGCGAGTACCTGGAAATATTAATTTGGCCTCTTATCACTGAAGTCATCTTCTGTGAATAATGCCTAAAAAGACACGTTCCAAGCAGGGTTCTGTTAAAAATCGTGACAGCTCATGGAACAAATAGAAAAATCATACCTTTTAATGAAACATCCAACATTCAAAACTTCAAATATCTGGTATGTTAGATTTTTGCCCAAGAGTGCAGCTGGTGATACAAATGATGACCATGATTTCATTCGAGAGAAGAACAGCGTACCTTTCTGAAATTGGCACTAACTTACCTACAATGATGTTTCCTGTAAACCACATTGAACTGCGTGTTGCATTTAAAGCAGTGAGTGACAGCGTGGTCTGGTATCCAGAGGGTGCGTTTGGTCTCTGTCTCATCCACCTGCTCCCAGGAGATGTCTGAGGTGATTGAGCCACAGCGAGATGAGGCATCACGATCTTTTTCGTCCTCCAGCTCACTGGCCACCACCTGGCAAGAGAATGTCAGGTAAATGGAGGATTCATGATTGCTCTAAGGTGAGCCATAAACTTATCCAAGCAAGAAAGAATTTGCTTGGTCTCTGGTCTGAGGAAAGAAAGAGAACAATTTTTCAGGCAATGCAATGTAACTTCTGATTGTAGGGTCGGAGGTTCAAATCCCACTTGTGGCAGCATGTTGTAATCTTGGGCAAGTCACCTTATTCCTCAGTGCCTCCGTCCACACAGGAGTAAATGGGTACCTGTGAGGGCAGATGTGGTTATCATGTTTAGCCATTAGTGCCTAATATGGCAGCAACAGGATAGTCTGAAACCATCTTAGCTCCCTTTTAGGATAGCTCACTAGTTGTGAGCCCAATGTTCAGGGTATATAATATTACATGCTTTATAAGAACGGTTTATTATTATAACCATTTTCAATGCATAATCAAATGTTCATCAGCACTGAACTAAGACTAACTCCAAACATATTCATTTGTGATAAATTGTGAATTTGCAAACTACAAGAACCTTCTTGCAAGGTACCACTGAACTCAGCTCTTAGCTTAGCTACTCACTACTTCCTCTTGGCATACCCCATTCAGTGTTGCATTTGGAATGAGTGCCTTCATCTGGCTAGTCTGCTGCAGCAGTTTCTGCAGGCGGATGATCTCCTGTCTAAGAATCGCCACTTCATTCTGGTGTTTGTGCATTATCCCTAGTAGCCTATCCTGCTCAGGTGCTGCGATTGGGGTCAGTCCATCCTCATCAAAGTGGCGGCCGACTTTCAGGCCACTTGCTGACCCTTTGAGGGGGAATACCTCCAACTCATTGGGGGTCAGGCAAGACTGAGACTCACTGGACACAGGGCTGGAGGGTGCCGAGACAAAGTTGGGGATGCTGGAGCTCGATATGTACCTGACATGTTGGCTATCACCATTGGGCATACTGGTCTGGATGCCAAGCTCTGGGAGGGATGTCGATCCCGAGATGAACAGGGTACCGTTGAGATCAGGTAGACGGCTTCCAACTGCAGAACTAGTCAGGTCAGATGTACTGGTGCTGATGCTGATTGATTTGCCCATTTGTTTGCTACCAGAGGAAAGGCTATTATGAGCTGCATTGTCAGACTCAGCTCTCAGTTCAAGCACTGCATTTTCATCCTCCACATCGCTGGTATCCGTGTGTCCATTGCACTCATGCCAGTGATTGTTGTCAGAGTTGCCGTCTCTGCTGCTGGAATCCTCAGTCAGTGTGTCTGTTGAGCCGTTCATGATACCTTCAACAGACTGCCGGCTGTGGCCACTGCCTTGACAGCGCTTTGGAGTTGAGGTCCTGGAATTCTCATCCAGGGGGGCATCATCAGGATCGCTGTCGCTACAATCTCCGTTCAGGAGTCCATTGGCATGGCCGTTGGTCAGGGGCTCACTGTTCACCTCTTCTTCGTTACTAGTTGCAGAGTCTTCATTCGGATTATTGCCATCCTGGAAATCAGCAGTTACAGGTTCGTCAGCGGAGGTACTGGCGTTAGCATCCAGGGAAGGGTCGCTCTCGTCACCTTCTCCTCTCATCACAGCACCTCCCAGTGGCCTGTCGGCCAGCTTGCGGGTCTGCGGCGGGGTGCCTATCCGCCCGCCGTCCAGTTTCAGCTCGCTCAGGTTGGGGTCGCTCAACCGGCGGACCAGCGGGCTGCCTTCCACAATGCTGCCTCGCCGGTTCTCCTCCTCACCCTTATGGAGGTCATCCACCGACCGTGTGCGGGTCAACTTGGCACCCTCGCCTGTGGCCGTCTGGGCAGTCTGCAGGAGGCTCGAGTTGTCATCGCAGGTGGCTGGGGTGGAGTCAGACAGGAACACTGCCGTCCAGAAATGCATTGTCCGCACGTGGCAGCAAGGATACAGGATCTGTCAAGAAGTTTTACCAATCACATCAAGAGTCAAGAAAGTTTTGAATTGACCTTACCTCCCTCACTAACAACCGTCCAAACTTTAAACTGTGCAGTATCCCAATGGCACATTCCTCAATTTCAATCACAAAATCTTGAAATATAAAGCCCATGCAAGGAATTGGATGCTAAACTACTACTCTCAATGCATTTCTGCTTGGAACCTTCCTGAACATTCCAAAATCTTCCACTGCACAGAAAACCCATGACACTTTTATTCTTTCTACTGTAAGTTTCCAGAGTAATCAATGGCCGCTGAAAGTAAAAGTGGCTGAGCTCAAACTGGTTTAGTTTTCAGGATTGGGGGGAGTTCGTGTTAACATCTCACCACTGCAGTTTTCACACCTGCTGCGCGGGGCTTTTGATGGATGTAAGATGCATATATGCAGTGAGGGTTATGTGATAGAAAAAAGAACGGTACTGTCCCCCTAAAAAGCAGACACAGGCTGTTTGACGAACACTGGATATGGATTCTAGAGTAGACTCACAATAACAACAACCTGTCTCTTTGCTGCTTAGTGCTAATCAATATCAACCTGCATGGCCAGTGAAGGAAATAAGTCCATTCATTCTCACATATTGTTTGCAAATTGTAATTACAGTTATACATGCAAATAGGCCACATCACCACAGTCACATCACATCACCAACATCACCATAACATCAAGTGCTATATATCCTTAAGGACCTCGCCTCATTGAAATACCAAACTGCAGTATTTGTCGAGACAAGGACACTCGGCCAAAATGCATACTTCAACATCTGTGTTAACGTGTTGTACTATAAAGACTTTGATTACTTACTAGTTCAGTTGAAGATGCAAATAAAAAGTTGCGGTATTTATGTCCTTCCACCCCCAGTAATGCCCAGACTGAGCATGTGCGGTCCTTGATGGAGTGTTTAGCTCGTTGTTGAGCACTGTTACATAGAAATGTGCCAAATAGGCAGGAGTAGGTGTGCTGAACCAGCTTCACCTAGAAACACAGTAAGACAAGATATGCATTACTATGATTCCTATAATCCATTTTATTTTCTGAACACTCTGAACTGGGATGGAGCCTGACTATTTTACTAATAATACAGGTAAAATCTCACTTTACCAGTCCTTTCGTTTTAAGGCATGCGATTGCACTCCCGCACCATCGCATGCCTAAAAGCTTCCTGAGAAGTGCAAATAATTGCACGCCTGAAACCAGCCATACCGCACTCCTTGGCATGAGTTTACTTTATAATTACACTTTGCCCTTTGTGAGAAAAAAGGAAACGAAAAGAATCAAACATTAGGCCTACCTAACAGGAATGACAAAATCATTTTTGATTCTCTCAGGGAAACAGTTTTGCACGACAGCTCTGTCAGTTTGCAATTGTTCAGTCCATGCACGTCACACAGCGCTGCAAGCAAGCGTTGCTGCATGCATTAAGCTACATACACCAGACTGTACATGGCTTTACGTGCTTGTAGCACATGTCACACACATTGGAAGCGCAAGGGGACGTTTGATTAAAATCCAAAATCCATTGACAAATTGATAATTCTCAATGCGTTATCATCCACAGTGTACTCACATCATAGCCAGCTGTAAAGTAACAGCCAGTACACTTCTGATTCAATGGTTTGTCTACCCAAATACAAATGAACACTTCTACAGACACAATTTGAACTTGTGAGAAAGTTTGCAAAATATCCATGCCTGTATAATTTGGATACCCAAAACATTAATTACACATGTGAAAAACCTTACAAGGACTCTAATGAAACTGTCACTGATTTGGTTGTAACTGGACAAAGTACAAACCCCTCATGTGAGCTCTTGAATTGAATGTAATTCGAACTATATTAGATTGTTCAGTTTGGAACTCAAAATCACATGCCTAGAAAAACTGCATGCCTGGAAATATCCAGGAGTGTTTTTTTCACACGCCTACAATTTTCAAATCACAGGGACTGCTTTACAGATTTTTTTTTCATTTGAACAATAACAATAACGGCGATATGACTACCCATCAGAGCACAAGGGAGACAATCTACATTTGTCCCTGCTGCATCATCTTCCCACGCTGTAAAAGCCTTAAATTTCACGATAACCCCGGCAGCCAATGTCATTGATACCTTTCAAGTGGCCATGATTTACAAAACTCATCACAGTGGCCAGTTGGTATAGCCCTGTCTTCTATGTTGGCGGCAATCCCCCTTTATAGTACACCTTTGGTAAAGATGGCATTTTGCCAAGTCAATCCAGGCTGACTGTTCTTGTTGACTGTGCTTCAGCATGCATAAACATGAACATCTCTTTAAAACCCAACCTGAGTAAACATAAGAGCTACTCTACTTCAGAAATCCCAATTTTTAAAAAATTTTTATATCTGATATATCTTAATTCCGTACATATACGCACTTATCAATATCACAGCTTTTTAAGAAAATTCATGTCATCTTTGTCCGTCAAAATTAACCCAATGCTACAAAAAGATACATATATGTTCAAATCCACCTGTACTGTACTATGCAACATGCACTGAAGGAGTTCCTGGTCTGCCCAGTAGTGGTGGTTGTTTAATCAAGAGATTAAGGGTAATGTCAGGTGTGAAGTATTGTGTGACTTTGGTGTGTGAAAATGCCTCATTCTTCAGAGGGCTGTTGTTGTCATGTGTGTGCACTTGTCTAAGCATTACATACACAGCATGGACTTCCCGCACAAAAGAAGTCCACATAATGCTGGGTAAACAGACACTGTGTGGACTTACACAGGTCCACACAGTGTTTCCTTGTCTCTGAAAAACCACTTCAGAGGCAGTTTGGGATAAGCATGATTAAGAGGAAAGATTGTAGAGGAACAGTTCAAGAAATCATCAAAAATCTACTTCAAAATAGTCAACGTAGAAAGACAAAAAGGAGATTTTTACCCGTGTTTTCTTAACTGCAAAAAACAATGGAAAGTCCAAACAAGGTAACGTAAACACGTGTGCCGACACAGGCAACATTGCACAGTATGGGTTGGGCTAAGCATACATGCGCAAGCACTTTGTGTATGCAAGGTACGTATGAAACCCATGAATGTGTGTGCATTATGTATGAAACCCACGATGTGTGTGTATATTACATGTACACATGTGTACAAACAACCTTCGTGTCATTCTGTCGTCATTAAATGTGACCAGTGCAATCAACTGATGCTCCGCAGCGTTAAAAACAACACATGCTCACCTAAATGCCAGTGAATACAATATCAAAGAATAACATCAAAGAGTCATTTCATAAAGTGCCAACACAGCTAGCTGGATTTCTGAGCTGTTGAATGAACCTGTTATAAATAGACGTCCAAGCTCAACACACAGTCTTTAATTTGAACTGCACCAGCATCTCCAGGAGGATTAAGTTTGTTCGTTTCAACTTGGTTCAATGAATTTTTCTCTCAAAAGCAATAGCACTGGAATAACTGAACATACCAGGAATGTTTCATTGAACTCGAATGCTGTCGGGTACTGCTTGATGAGTTGATGCACACAATCAAGCCATTGCAGGAATACCGGGCATCTCTGGTTGACGTCGTCATCATTGGGTTTGTGACCGCAGCGATCGCCAAATTTGTGACCAAAGTCCAACCACTCTCGCTCAACCAGAACCTGAAAGCCCTGTAGAGAAATAAGGGTTTGCTTCAGTAACCGCTTGGGGTCTGGTGTTAGATGACCACAATGAAATGATGCCTTGGTCTACATGCACAATCTAGGACATGAGCCCTCATATTATCAGACAAAAGAGCGCATACATGTACACTAGAAGCAATAAGATTTTGTGCTATCGTGGAATCCAGAATGAAACCAACAAACAGCCATTTATCCATAAGAAGACAGTAAAACTGCAGGCCAGTTTTGAAATCAGTGGAAGTGTTCCACAAGTGACCAATTGTATGAAATTCAATTGCGTATTGTTTATTTCACCTTCAACATAATCATCCTAGTGCAGGGACTAGAAGTGCTTCTCTTTTTAAGCAGCTGGATTTAAGGACATTCAGTTCAATGAATACAGACTTATGGCAGACTTTGGAAATACAGACTTTGGAAAAGGTAACTCCTCTTCTTAAATTTGAACAAGTTTTCGTCCTAAGAATAATTTTTAAGGGAATTATTCCACATGAAATCTATGAAGAGCACTTTGAACACCTGTATGCAATGTTCATACACCCTTGTGAAAAAAATATTCCAGGACTTTTCCAGGATTTTCCAGGTGAAAATGTTTGATTTTTCCAGGACTTAATTCAGGTTGGACACGCAATACCATATTATCAATACAATACAATAAAAGATTGTGAAGTTATAACAATGTATAAAAATCGAGCAGCGCAGCGATGAAGACATGACAAGTTTTCTGACAGTGACAACCTGACCACGAGGTAGGCCTACACACAGCTGGCGATCATAGAAAAATAAACTTGCCCTAGTCCATTCAACGTTAAGGAAAAAGGTTCGACACAGTCGCAGGTTTACATTTACACTGAGCTTTATTAGTTTATAATGTGGGCACCATCCAAAATTGATTTGCACTGCATGCAGTGTATGTGTGTTTTCCAGTGTGTAGACCACACCTGGTGAATAATGTACAACTGTATTGCGCCGTGCAATAGCAACAATGTATGTGGGGACAGATCGATCACGGAAAATTTTCAGTCACAGCTTATTAGATCATTTTTGTCTCATTTTGAAAGTAACATTGATTTTACTGAAATTTCCAGGAATTTCCAGGACTTGTTTTAAAAATAAAGCATTTTCCAGGACTTTCCAGGAGGGGTATAAAATTCCAGGATTTTCTAGGAGGCGTGTGAACCCTGTGTAAGATAGGAAACAATACAAGATCTAACCAATCTCTCTATGGATCATCCAAGGTAACTGACCTCTAGTGTCCTATAATAAGGGTCCAGCATGAGTTCAGCCAGGGCTACTATCTGTGGTGTACGGTCCCAGCCATCAGAGCAATGCACTACTACTGGGCAGGCCTCTTTGTCCACCGTGCTAACCACCATCAGAGCTGACTTGAGCAGTAGGGATAGATGCTGTAACCACTTGGTGGCTTCCAATAAGGACAGCCAGCTAGATCAAAGAATCAATGAGTCAGACTTAGATTTGAATTTAGATCCAGTAAAAACTGAAGTTCACCATCAGAGAGTCATAGGTTTGACTTTATGCTTAGATAATTACATAATTGAGGGTGTTGGTATCAAGTCACTCACTCCTGAATGGTTAATATTCCCTGCAAATGGCTGGATCAGTGACTATTTTAGGACATAAGTCTTTCTCCACATGTGCACTTTCCAACGGAGCCAGTGGGGGTCCAGGGTCCACTGAGCACCCACAGGAAAGCACAGCCATAAACAAAGTGTGGCCTCACCAGTACAGCAGGTCTACTGTTCATTAACAGTTTGACAGCAAATTGAGAGTTCAATCTGGCACTGACAGGCACTACATTATGCCAAGTAAGATTTGAAGCTTTGCATGGTGGAAATTACTTGAGCTGTAGGTTTGATGGTACACTGTGGAAACTATCTCTTCATTTGAGAGTACAATCTGGCAATGACAGGCACTACATTATGCCAATTAAGATTTGAAGCTTTGCATGGTGGAAATTACTTGAGCTGTAGGTTTGCTGGTACACTATGGAAACTATCTCTTCATTTGAGAGTACAATCTGGCAATGACAGGCACTACATTATGCCAAGTAAGATTTGAAGCTTTGCATGGTGGAAATTACTTGAGCTGGTACACTATGGAAACTATCTCTTCAGAAGAAGTGTAGGTCCGAGAAGAATCGTTAAGTATTAACTCGACATTTCGGCCAGGATGCTCTGGCCGTCCTCACTCTCCTGAGGACATCCTCACTCTCCTGAGGACATCCTCACTCTCCTGAGGACATCCTCACTCTCCTGAGGACAGCCTCACTCTACTGAGGACACCCTCACTCTCCTGAGGACAGCCTCACTCTATTGAGGACATCCTCACTCTCCTGAGGACATCCTCACTCTCCTGAGGACATCCTCACTCTCCTGAGGACATCCTCACTCTCCTGAGGACATCCTTACTCTCCTGAGGACATCCTCACTCTCCTGAGGACAGCCTCACTCTCCTGAGGACAGCCTCACTCTACTGAGGACATCCTCACTCTCCTGAGGACATCCTCACTCTCCTGAGGACATCCTCACTCTCTTGAGGACAGCCAAAGAATCCTGGCCAAAACACCGAGTTAACACTCACTGGTTCTTCTCAGGACCACACCTCTTCTGAATAGATAGTTGCCATGGTGTACCTGCAAACCGACAGCTCACTACATTATGTTGCCGGCAAGTGAGAGTCGACTTGTTTTTCACTGAGAGAGGCATCATTTTACCACAATGCACTAGTGCCTTTTATTGCAGGTCCACATCCCTTTAATACAAACTTACCTAAGATACATAAGACATGCATGTATAAAATAAGAAAGGTAAAGGCCATTTGGCACTTTATGTTTTATGCGCAGTGAATATGATACAAAACTTTCAGAACAATGGTTCCCCTCAGATCATGTGTCTAAGGCTTCATCCGAAAGTGTTGGCTGTGGCAGAAACAACATGTGCACCAACAGGCAACAAATACAGCCAGTTACCACAGAGGAGTGGATTACAGCTGACTGCAACCCACACTCTGGGATGCAGTCAAACCAAGAACACTGTGACAAAACTGGCATTTCACACACTCTTGGTATGCAATTCCCTTTGTAAGAAATGCACACTGTTCAGGACACCAGACTAAATAGCAGACAGGTACAGCTGAGGGACTAGCCTATCTACTCACTTGGTCCCATCTGGTGTGTTGCTACAGATAGTCCTCACTCCCTGAAAGCTCTTCCTAATGGAATGGATGTTAGCAAGGCCCATGAACTGGATATCACATGAAGGATAATACTCTGCCAGAAAGAAAAACCAAAGATAAAATCCACACTGGTTGTGACAACAAGTCTGGGAACATGGGTAACATGCCTGAGCACATGAACATTATTCCCACACTGCAGAACCAGAAAAAAAAGCCAAACCCCTGCCGTTTGATGCAATGGCTGAAACAATACTTCCACCATACAGGGACAAATGGACTTTTAAATAGCAAAAAAATAATTCCCAGCTGAGACTACTGATAGCTAACTTCTGCAGTTGTGTGGTAGGCAAGAAAAGGGAAAGATAAAAAAATAAGTAAATAAATAAAACCAAAGACAAACAGAAAACTAGCAACCTTCTAGCAGTCAACTAATGAAAACAAATAATAGGACTTCATCTGGGCAACTTTCCAACAGCCTGGCCTGATGGCTAGGATGGAAACATTAAGAGTCATGGACAACCATCCATATCTTGAGTATGAAGCTCATAATACTAAATGTGGGCAAAGACTTTTTAAAATAGGCATAATTAAATTTCCAATTTTAAAAAAGAATATTCTATTTATGAACTTTCATCATTTAAATATCTGGTAAATAGTTGTACATTGGTACGATCATGGTTTCCACTTCACTGGATACTCACCAACAAAATTCCAACAAAAGAGATGGACTTGCACTAGATTACAAATTCTGATTCTTACAGGATTAGAACAGGCTACTGCCGTGATATTTTGGGATGGGCCTGGTTAAAAGCATCTGTTATTACGCTATGGATGCTTCTTTGGTATCTAAAAATATATATATATCAGAAACACCAAAAAACACATGAGCAGTTTAAAGCGTAACATCATGGTTTGGGTGAAACAGAAATGAACTGCCTTTGTATTTGAATTGCTTCATAAAGAAAGTGATGGGACAGCAGGAAACAACACATGTCCCCTCATCATACATACCAGTATTAAAGGAGAAGTATGACAAGTGAAGTGAATGTTATCACAACATCTGACTGCAAACAAAGGCAGATTAAAAGCTTGGTAAATATACCAAGTATATCAAAAACACAGATATGTGGCGAATTCCAGAAATTAGGGGTCCTTTTTTTTGTGTGCCTGTCACATCGGACATGTGAGTTTGTAAGTTCAGAACACATTTTCTAACTTCCAAGAGTGATGAATTAATGCAAATTACCATACCTGCCAAACAAATAGCAATAGTTTGAAATCATTTCCGGTGATCTTTCCATGTCAAATAAGAAAGGTCAGATGTAACAGCCACACAAAAAAGTCACACTTCTGGAACCCTAATTTCTGGAATTACCCACATACCATTTGAAGCCAAGCACAAGGGTGTAACTAGATACACTATACCTGGGAATTCGCAGCCACCACCCTTGGCCCTGTTTGCGTATGCTGCTGTGTAGGATCGAGCATCCACTATCAGCACTTTCTTGTTGCTTGGATTGGAGCCCAGGTGGGGTAGAATGCTCACATCTATTGAAATCAAAATGTGGAAAAATTGGACAAATAGGTACTCCTAATGAGTCCTTCCTACTTGAATCGCTAAATTTTGGGGAGAAATGCAATGAGACACTGGTGTTTCTTTCATCCAGTTATCAATTCCTGTGCATAAATATGTTGGGCACAGCACTGAAATATCTGTAATTTCACAATATCTGCATCTTATTCAAAGAACTTCACCAATTTTAAGTCTGATTGTGACTATAAACTATACTTACAGCGATCCCAATACATTTTTGTCAAGAGCCTGAAAATAAGGCTAGAGAAGTCTAAAACATACATTTTTACGACCAGACATTAGCCCGATATTCTTCATGTAACTGTCTGAAATCAGGCTTCTGCATGTAAACTGGCATCCCCACACTTACCACTAGCCTCTCCTCCAGCCGTTCCATTAGCTGTGTTTTCAGTGGCCTGTGCTGTGCTCTGTGGGCTATCCATGTTACACGCTCTCAGAATGTTTTCCATGAAGCGTTCATCTTGTGAGCAACGCCAGCCAAACCAGCCGATCTCAGGCTGACTACATCGTGCAATCACTGCTCCATTACGCTGATGCCTGAAAGACCAAAGAAAAAAAGTTGAACATCATCTGAATTCAAACACAAAGAAACAAGTTCATGGGCTGCACTGGCCAAAATACGAACAGCTACACTTTCGGTTTGATTTATTTATGCACACCAGTGCTACAAAAAGTTAAGTAGATTTGAGGTTATACAGAAAAACTTCCCTGACAAATGGAAACACAGAAAAAAAAAATCTTCACATGCTACTTCCTGAAATGTTGCTGTTTCCAAGATAACTCAAACTTCACAAAGCACAGTCATAGCTAAATCACTCAGACACAAATCAATGTGAATACTGAATTGTAATCACAACGAAACTTCATGCATAAATCCATCTCTGCACAAAATGCAGAGGTTGACACTGACGTTACATGTACTTCAACAACACTTGCAACCCTTTGCTCGGAGTTGGAGGTATGAAAACTTTGTTTGTGAAGGTAGGCAAAAATCTTGCAGCTACTTTTGCATCCAAAAGATACATATTTAAAAGAGTGGCACCTCATATTTTCATGGCTGGATAACACTACAAACGAAAGCTTAACTGTAAATCTGTGGCAGGATGCTCTGCCCACATTCAAAATTAAGAAATCAACTTCACTGTACAACAGAGTACAGGACTTAAATGACACTGGTTGAGATACCTCCACACAACTGATGGGAACCTCCTAGATGCACGGAAACTACTGACTGCCTTGAGATCTTCATCGGTAACCCAGGCAGGTACAATATGCTGCACAGGATAGGATGAAGAGTACCTTCAAAGAAAGGAACACAAACAATTACACTATACTAACCAATCATGTCAATCATGGTTCAAAATGCAAACTAGAGGTGTCACTATATCTTCAGAAAGTGCAACATTTCCAAAATATTTCTTTGAAATCTTTTGGGAATGTGTAATGTCATGGCAAACTAGATGGGCTAAAGTGTCATAGCAATGCCTGCGCTGTTTTGAAAAATTTAAGTACACGTATTAGTGAGCAGTCAAATCAATCAATGTGTCAATTATTTGTTCATGTTTTTCTGGTTTAATGACTGAAAACTATGTCATTCAAAGAGTTAACATTGTAAACATGATTTAGAAAAATAAAGTGCTGTTTGCGAATCTCAACATGGATCACTAGTTTGTCATTAAGGTTATAGTTTATGTAAAAATTAAGGAACATCTGGTGGTTTAATTGCTCGAAACCATAATTAAGACGGACCCGATTAACTGACTAAAAATGACTGTGAACTTGAGGCCCTTGTCTTACTTGTAATCCTTGTTTTCAAAGACTCGCCAAGCCTCTTTCATATCAAAGCCCTGCCGCCTGACTTCACTATTGAAGGAGTAGGTTGGAATATCCCCTGAAATGAATCAAACCAAAATAAAAAGAATGAAATTCAATTTCCACTTTGTCAGTGGAAATCAAAATGCTGAATGGGACGTCATATTATTAATATAAAGACTCTGTGCGTGTCTCTGCCATCTTTATAGTGCATCAATGGACCACTTTGGTGAGAACAAAGGTCAATGTCCCACACTGAGGCCACAACTTGCACTCTCATTCACCTAACATTAATTGCCTCTCATTTCCTCATTGTTTACATTGTGGCATGCACATTTATTACTCCAACTGAGTTGTGCTTTTAGTCCACAACGATTTATCACAAGATGAAAATCAAGTCTTGCTGAATATGGCACCGCATATTCCCTTCTGGTTAATTGAAAAAAATGAAGGTATACATTGTCTGCGTCTCTCAATAGTCAGCTTTGAATGTCATTGATCCTTTGAAAAGCATCACAAAAGCAGCTTTCAGTAGAAATTCTATATCACAGTCTTGCAATGCATCCATTGTCTCATTTACCCCAAGTGATAAACAACACATCAGAGCCTAATGGTATGTTGCAATTAGTCAGTAATTTTGCATAAATTCCCAACCAGGCACTGCCCTGGTCAGAGATGAAGTATCCTGGACGAACTGCAACTTTCCAGAGAGCACAGGTACAAGGCAGTCATGGACTACAGTCAACTCATACAATATCCCCACTGTGCCTTTATGACCGAAAATGGGCTTTTTGAAAGAGGACCAAATAACAGCACCCAGTCCTGCTTAAGAACAAGTACCATGACCTCCTGACTAGGTTTAAAGTCATGTTATCAAAACCCGTTTCACTCAATGAAACTCTTCAACAAGCAGATCAGAGTATGCCACAAAAAGAAAAAACTAGTGCACTGCATCCATGTACCCTGAGGAAGCAATAACCCCATCAACACTGTAGCTACAGCACCGCATGGCACACACCTCTTGACTTACCGGCAGACTGCAGGAAGCCTATGCCTGGGGCAGGTGTGTCTCCATCATGGTGGATTTGATCAAAGCACCAGGCATGGAAGGCAAACGCAAAAAGGTCCTCCAGCTTGCTAGGGGGTGCTATGGCTGACATGAGACGCGTTAACCAGTCCTGGCACTGCTCATTGGTGGCAAATTTACACCTAGAATATGTATTTTAAAGGGAGAAAGACAAACAGAATGTTGATGTCAAGTGGCATTCTTTGTATCAGTTATGCCTGAGACAATAAAGTGCAAAAGGAAGAACAAAGAGAATCAGTTGAGAGGTGCAGTACCTAAATATTCAGTTAAGCTGAAAAAACTACATTTATTATTTGACTCCACACGCGGTATGAGATGAAATCTAAGGTGAAAAAAATCTGAGTACTACGACCACATCAGCAAACAACTTCCAGCTTCCAGCAGCAAATCACATTCACAAAAGATCTCATTGAGAAGCAAGAGTCCTGCTTTCTTTTTTTTTCATATCAGTTGCATTTGTGGTATTTCTTCTTACATTGTGCACTAGCACTGCACTGATTTAAAGCTCCAATTCTGAAGTCACCAAAGAGCTATATACATATAAAATAGAGTGCTGACTCGTGTGCAAAATGATGTCTGCTGGGGGCATACATATTTGCACACAAACCTATGGAAAACTCAGAATTCTGTACGGCTTTTGTAAGGCTATTTGCATATCTGCATCTGTATTCTAAAACAATGCATCAACAAAGCCAATACCCCAAAACCTATGCACAATCAGTAACTGAGAATTTCATTTTGCTCTGTGTAAACAATGCAAACACATGCGCATATGCACTGCAGTTAATTTTGCCCTGACTTTTTTAATTGGATTTTTTCAGTACCCAATGCTCATTACATTCAGAGTTTGGATGGTCTAGAAGTATGCACATGGATTCAGAATGTCTGCACCTGGGACGGAGTCAAACTTTTTCCACTTGGAGGATGAGAAGTTAGCACTCTGGTAACTTGATATAGCTCAATGGAAGTCACACTTGTGCTGGCAGTGCACAGCATTGATATCATTTTCAAGTTTAAACATACCTGCAAATACCATTTGAATTGGCAAGACTGAATGCAATATTCAGGGGTGAGATTGGGGGATGAAAAGAAATCAATGGAACATCCAGCAGCAGGGTTGAAATCACAATAACATACAATGACCATTGGGGCTCTTAGGTACATGTAACTAGGGCTAAGTCCTCTTCAAACAGCAACAATTATAGAAATCCTGAACACGGCATTTTGTATAAAGTGCTAAAAATTAAAAAACCTAAATGACTTAACCTGTACAGAATCCAGAAATTTGGATTAAAACAAAACTTGAAACTAGAAAAATACTCAGAACTCAAATTACTGAAACATTTCAAACTATGCAACATTGGGTACATGTTCCTATCGACAATGAACTTCAGAACTAATTTTGTGCAGGGTATGTACATGTACATGAAAGTGTTGGTATAATGTAGACTACAAGACCCAAAGCTTCTCAAATAAAATACTTCCAAGTTCACTCTCTAACACGGGAAATCCCCATTTCCTCCCGGCCTAGGCCCAAGCCATGTTCAGTGATGATTAACAACACAGGACTGACTGCCTCTCCAAACTTGAACATCAACCTGTCGTCCACACAGATACATGTATGGGTGTTTTGCCACAGGGTAAACTTTTCAGTGATCTCTTGGCAGGTGTATTGTTTTTTTTTCAATAATCATCACACAATCGACAAAGAGATAGTCATAAAAGAACTTATCTCAATGGAAACATTCAGTTTATTAAACAAACAAACAAACAAACAAACAAAAAAGCAATGCAAGACATCATAATAACAGAATATAATATTGTTGCATTCTGAGACTTGGAGACCAAAATAAAATCATGAAATTATCCATCCAGTTACAGCTTGCTTCTATGAAAATGTTTGCCTATTTACTGCACAGTACACTATGCTGCAATAGTGTAAGAAAGCAAAGTAAATTGAATGGTGAAACGAGAAAATATGCAAAATAATTCAAGAATATTGACAAAGCACTGTCCAGAAGTAAAAAAAAAAAGTGCTATCAGTTTGGGGTGTCAGACACATTTGATGTGCACTAAGCCATTTTGGAATCTTCACCAAGGCAAGGGGAAGAGTGACACTGCATTATTTCTATCAGTTCTGGCCGTAAGTGGATAATATTATCAGAGTTTCCTATCATCACCGGTGGGCACTTGGGCTCAATGTTACCAATACTTGCACTGTGAAACATGGGAAATATGAATTTATGCTGCCCCTGGAATATTCCTAAGGTTTGGAAGCCACACAAAAAGTTGCACAATATAAAAATCCCCAATAACCATACATTACAATGTCCTATGGTCTCTGTAAAGTGCTTGATAATGGCCCAGTGGAATGAAGCTATGTGGGAGACCTGTATTTGTTACTTCCTGCTAGAGGATATAGATTGAAATGCCAGCAGGCACAGCCCAGAGTCAGGGTAGAATGGATGCATGTACATAAGCCCTGTGTTTGCTTGACTGGAATTTCAATTATACATGGAACCGTCTGGTTGGGTTTAAAGCAAGGTTCAATTTTCAGGTCATGCATGTTGCCAAGTACGTAAAAACTCAGTTGATCCATCTGGGTCTTTAAAGGTGACCATCGTGAAAATAAAACAAACTGGACCCAGGGATACATGTTCGTATTGAATCCTGTGGTATTCATGGCACAAACCACCTTGGAAACCGGTCTCACTATTACGTGTGATCATGTTGAGTCAGTAATCCTGAAACTTGGGTGAGACTGCTTTCAGTCTAGTGACACTTCCGAGATCTTAGTTCAGTTCAACCAAGAGTGATTTAAACAATTTAACACATCCTCATTTTGTATATTTTTATCTAAACTAATTTCTGTACTGTCGATAATTTTGAATAGCAGTACTTTTTTGTCTTCAAAAAGGAAACAAACTCAGATTGGACACATCAAAAGGCCTTTTACACATTGCCAAGAAAACATATTTATGACAGTTCCCAAACATGTTCAGCACTTCGGCTGCAAGTAAACATCATAAGGAAATCACTAAAATTGTACTACACTGTTTCTCAATGAGTTTAACTGCAATTTGTTGATATGTGAACATGTTTGTTGAGAAGGATACTGAAGGCATTAATTATACTTTGTTCAACCTTGACAATGTACACTGTCTAATTTCTCATTTAATAATCACAACCATTTTGTCTCATTTGCTTCACTTGATTACGATAGTTTAACTATCAAGGTTTTGAGGGTTTTTTTAATAATGGCTAACACCAAAAGTGGATCACCAGACTACTTATACCAGCTTGATGCTGAACAGACAGGAGTAACAAATGTAGAAAAAGGTACAAGACAGCACCTTGTTCATGTATTTTCAAATGGTTTAGTCTACAGACGGATGACTGTGAGTACCCCTCAATGTTCTTAGGAAGTCCAAGATACCAGACATACACTGTGCTCTGCCACTGAAGCAGGTGCACACTGTACTAACCTGTATGTCTTGCCATCCTTGCATAAGATAACCAGATAGAACAGATCTCTGCATTCCACTGATTCAATCAACATGACTGGAACCTGTTGATGAAAACACACAATATCACACAGGCAATCAGTTTGACATAAGCAAAGTTCATCACTCCAGATCCCTGACAAAGGACACAAACAAGTTTGTCTTTTTAGCAGTGAGGTCAGCAGTGAGTTCATTGTTGTTCACTGAACAATATTGTATGTAAAATGTAAGCCTCAAAGTTAAAGTGAAGCAAAATAAGCCTTAGGAAATATGTTCTTTTAAGTGGTGATACACTGTACCCTAATTGTAGATTTGATTTTCAATATGGGTGATTCACAACAGTGCGCCTCCAAGAGTTTGCAACGTGTTGACCAATCACAATGAGCAAAATCTGTCAACCTAATACACGTTTGGAAAGGGTCAACAGATTTAGCGCACTGTGATTGGTCAATGCATTACAAACTTTTGGAGGCACAATATTGTGAAACGTATTCCAAAAATATAAATCACATTTACCTTTCAAATTGCTACAATATTCGAGGCTAGCCCCAACATTTATTTGTAATTGTTTAAGCACTGGTAAAGTACAGTACATGAACATGTAGACTGTACTTTCCTGCAATCCCTCATCCTCACACAGTGTTTTCTAGACCTGTAGCAACAATGACCTCTCTATTCTTGAAATGATGATGACTTTACATACATGTGATATCAAAAGCAAAATGCCTACAATCATGGAAGCAGTGCAATATTAGTCTATGACTTGGGTAATAGCTACATGTATGGAACCATTTATCTCTCTTGAACCATAACCTGATACAAAGTCGAATGAATTCACTGGCTTTTGGATCAATCAATTAACCCACATACTGGTACAAATGTCTAAGGATAGCCATGTCTGCATGACTGTCTTGAACAAAGCTTCTACAAAGTTAATCTTCATGAATGTCTAACCTCAGCCTTAATTGAAAAGCAATTGGTCTGCCATGTTGATCTAATCACTTCCCCAGCTAAAGTACATGTATGTACGTGTATGCAAAGAGTTTGTGTCCAAAACATAAGCACCAGTATGGTACCTTTTAGAATTCCGCCCTCCCCTGGCTGCCAAAAATCAGTTATTCATTTTATGTATATTTCTGTAGTTAATCTTAACTTAATCAATGAGTAGGCCTACAGCCAGAAACGAAGTTTAGGTGCATCTTGTTATACAAGAATACAGTTTTTTCTATAATAATATTTCATGATCATAGAAAAAGTTTTTTTCTTCAAATGGATACTCTCACCTTTTTGACATAAAAACCCTTAATGCATGTGCATGGTACATGTACAAATTCTGACACATCAACCATACACACAGTCAATTGTACATGTAGCAAGGGCAAAAGGGCCAACGAGGCTTTATTCTACATGTATACTTACACTTAGGTTCTATTCTAACTATATCATCCATTTTCTTTTTTCGGATGTTTAATGGATTCATGATACCAATGGTTGGAATAATAACAATACTGCCAGGAAATTCACAAATTGACACACATACATACAATTACAGGTACATCAAAATCACTAGATTACATCCGTGCATGTATGGCTGTGCATCATCATAACTGGGTATTTGACATTTCATGTTAGGAATCGAATCTACACTACAGAACCACGTATAATGTGCTTCACATAATGTCATTTCTTTGGCAATGAACAGGAAAGTTTTACAAATGCCCCCTGTGGAGAATTTTCAAAATGAAACCTGGCAATACAGGATCAATATGTTGGTGACACTTGTAAACTATCTACATCACACAGTTCATGCTACACACCCTATTACATTACCAGGTGTAGTGTGGTGCACAGTATTAGCGATGGCACTTGCACATTTTCCATCTTTAAGCATCGAGCAAGTGGGATTTGAACTCTATGTCACACATATGTTATGGTGAGAAGTATCGGGTTGCAGGTTCTGGAGTTTTTACTTTTCCAGTGGTTTTTTTTGAGGTGGTCCAGGAAAACATCATAAACTTAATTACACTATCAGGGGTAACATGATGGTTAAAAAACTACACTGTCATTGATTTAGTAAGGATTCATTTGATATTAATTTTTTCGGGGGGGGGGGGAAATGTAGGGTTACAAAAATAATAAGGGGCCGGCCTGTGAGGACCAAAATTAACAGAGTGTTTTCACTCAATTTTTAGATTTAATGATTATATCTTTCAAAACGCAAACACCTCTGGGAATTTTGCAACCACCAATTGGATTTATTTTTATAAAAATCCCTTTCAAAGTTTTCCAAGGAAACTTGTTGATCACTTTTGGGAAACAAATGAGAACTGTCAGAACCTTACCAACTGCAGGTAAGCCATTATGGCTAAGTGCAAAATCAAGAGTTGGCGAAGTTAAAGGTAAGTAGGAAATAAATTTGAGTTTAAGGCTTGGCATCAAGGTAGCAATGTAATGAGGGGTACAGCCAAAAAAAATATTATTTTCCTGCCAAGTACTGCTTTGAAGAGTAGACAGTTTGGTCCAAGATACATGTACGTGTACATGTACTTGTTGGGTTAAACTGTGACAGACCACACTGCAGAAACTTGAATTGGTTTAACAGGAGTGTGGTCAGGGTGGTTCAAACAATAATTGCAGTAGTCAATGTAGTGAGAGAACATTCAGATATTTCCAATGCCTCAAAGTTAAACACCCAACCCAAACTACAAGTGGCATTCAGCTGAACTGAACTACGTCCTCAAAGCCAAGCTTTCAAAGGTAATCACAATAAATTATTATCAGCCTTTCAAAACCTTGATGTAAGGATTGTTATGACTAGAGTGGGGGTAACTTTGGACTAGATCTAATTTGTTTTTATTCATATTAATCAGCCAGACACATTATGCTCCAGACGTCTCTTTCAGTCCACCACACACTCCATATATATTTGAATAAAGTCCACAGTGCAGTCCATTCATATCTACCAGCCATATTGATCAAATATGCACAAAACATACTGTGATTGGTGTCTTTATTGTAAAGGTTAAAAGGCCGAATCAGGACAGTAAAAACGCTGCAAGTGATTCTCCAGAAAATTTAGCTTCTTGATAAAAATAGAACTGAATGTAAAACTTTAATCGTCCTCTGAAGTACTGTACCACAACAATCCTCCAGTGTTGAACTTTGAAATTGACCTAACACTAGACATTGAAAAAGGACTCTCAGTCCCAGGGTACTTTTTGATAAGCAAACACCTAGGTGGATTTTGAGGGATCTGGGAGGTTTAGGGTGAACAGGAAAAACTGCTATGATCAAAATTACAGAAGATAAGTGAATAAACAATGTAAAAACATAACATAAAAATATTCCAAACTGATGCCGTACAGTTATAAACAAAGTTTATTTTAAATTTGGTCCTATAATTTTTATAGAATATAAATAAAAAATCTGATAGAATCCTGCCTATTTCTAACTTCAGCAAGACTCCACAAGAGTCTTGACTTTGACACTTGTTCAAGTCAAGTGCTCATAAGTCTTTTAGAAGCCAATCATAAGTCCATCATGAGTAAAGTCATAAGCTACATGTATACATGTATTTAAAGAAACTCTGATCGCCAAAGTCATGTTCAATGATCCCACACCCTCATTGTTTCTGAATTTGCCTCCTTCCCAGCACCAAAAGCTGGATACGCCGCTGGCGTGGACCCAAGTTGTTTACCATGCACGTTTGTAAAGTTTCATTGCATATCTTGGTCGTACCCCCATTCTATTTTCTGTTTCTACCTTAGCATGGCACGTTGGAAAGATGCACCAAAGGGAAAACCTTGCAGTTCTACCGAAATGTCGGTCAAAAACTACAAGCGGCCCATGTGGAATGTGAATCACTGTTAATCCTATCCCTAGTGATCTGATTGGCTACCTGACTAGTGATGGACCACTGGGTGACTGGATTACGACTCATCAGTCAATTTTATTGACTATACCAAAACAAGTGATTTCTGACCCAACCTAACAAATTGAGCAGTAAAGTCGCAGGAGTCACCTCTGACTGACAGGTCTTTAAAATAATCTTGAATGGTAATGAATGGTAAGATAACAGGAACCCTTAACACTTCTCAAAACAATGCACCAAAACAAAGAGCTCACTTTGCTCTTTCTGACGCAAAAAACCTGCGCTAACTGAAACCGTGATCATTAAACTGTCCCTTTGTCATATTTAAACTACAATGTATCCTGAGAGTTAGCACAAGTTACCATAAGTTTTGAAACCCACTGTGGGAAAATGGTCAATACAATCTGAGCACCAAACAGCATTACTGAAGCAGAAAGATGCAGTACCAATTGAAACGGGGAAAGACAGACATTAAACTGCAGAATCACAAATGCAAGTTTGTGACCATTAAGTTGGGAAGTGGTCTCTGATGCAACTGCTTAGTTGTGCACTGTTTTGTAAACTGTGTATTACAAAAAGCAGCGCATGAAAGAGGCAATGGGCAAACATGCTAACCATCAAATAATTGTAAATTGGGCAAAACCCTGTACTTACATTCACAAATGATTCCTTGTGACGTATCAGTAATCGGTAGCTGGACAGCACAATGACAGCATCCGATGCCGTTCCCAGGTAAGTCACACTCTCACCACACAGCTGATGGTATGGTACCTCAAGGCGTGGATCATCCTTGACCATGGGTTTCAGTGGGAAGGCTTCACTGGACTGAAGGCAGACCAGACTGTCTCCTTCCTCCTGATCAGCCTGCAACAATGAACAGCAATATACAACACTGTTGACTATGCAGTCCTTCAATGTTAAACTGGTTCACATTTGCCTGCAGGGTTAGCAAACACATAGGCGACCTATGCAATATTGTGGCAAGTATGTCATGTTAATCTTTGAAAGAGAAGATACATTGGTTCACGTATAGTTTGAGCAGAGGGTCCATGCCTATACCTGGCAGAACCTTAGGTCCAGCACAGATGATGACAATTCTTCTAACATAAAAACCAGGTTACCAAAAATGATGATGCTTGAAAATGACTCTGCGCTATTTGCTTGAAGCATTTTAGGTCCCAGAAATTTGGAACATTTGAAGGGTCTTGGCATTTCCAAATGCTACGCTTTACATATGCCATCTAATGTATGCACCAAATTTTTTTTACATATCTCTGACAGAAGTGCTCACTTTTAGTTGAGATATTAAGATCCAAGTTGTCATTAATCTCAACCTTTACTTAGTTCTATTGTAGTTTAATGAGATGCCAAAACTCGAACTTAAATGTATTTCAACAAAGCATAAGAATACAATGACAAGACTGGAATGCCACTGCAGTAGACAACATGAGGCCAGAAGAATCCAACAAAATGAACAGTTACTGGCACTATCACTTTCATTCAGTCATTATCAACTTTTCCTACATCAAAGGTCATAGGTGAACTCGGTCTTACACAAGTTTAAACACCATGAGCAAAAAAAAGACCGACAGGTTTTCCTTTTGGAACTTTCACCTTTACATTTCCTTTGGGCATTTTGTCGGACCGCATCTGCTTTTGGGCAGATTTAAGTGGTCACACAATGACTGATGTTTGCTCTGCCATCGCCAATTGTGAACTCACACGACAGTGAGTCCTCATGCACCAGTATTCACAGAGAACACTGTTCCTTGCATACTCACTCCAAATCTGAACACACCATGTTGGGATTACACTTGACTCTCATGCATGCAAACTAACGCTCAAACAACACCAGAATAAACTGTAAGTTATCACACCTCACTACACACACTGTTATATAAAGTGTTACAGCACTTTACTTGGACTTATAAATGACCTACACCTTTACATGACATTGCAGTCACACATTCTGATTACTTACTATATTTGTATAACCAAAAATAGGGGTGTTCAGACAAAATGTCTAAACAGCGAACTATGAACTATTAAAAGCAAAGGACAGATCAAAAAAACTGATAATGGCGGAACAAAGTTACTTTTCGAGCTTTGACATTTTGTCTGGTGACTTGCGTGGTGTAACTTCATGCCCTGCACACTGTAGACACTAACCATGTCAAGGTTGCCTCTAGACTCCGCTATCCAGAACATACAGCTCCCACCACTGTACAGCAAGTACAGGAGGTTGGATGTTCTTCAAGTAGGGAAACAAGACTGCAAGACTGACGATGCCTGGTTTTGGAGACTACCATGCAGCTGTGACAACAGAATCAAAGATTAATGTTAAATATACTAAAAATGACTACGATAAATCAGAGTGGATGTTAAACTTTAAGTATTGGTGAACATGCCACATACATGTATACCAATAATGAAAGTAGAGCTGTAACTAACTTGATATGTAGAAGCAACAGACTTACATGTACATGCACTAAAAAGTAGTATTTAAAATACATTTTATGTACTGCTACGTTGAGTGATAACCCTTCATTACAATAAATATCAAATTCATTTTGGACACAAGTCACCAGTTAACATGCTTTGCTGTTTGTATTATGGTACAACATTTACGACACCCTAGGGATGAGTCATGAGATTGTCAACATGAATACAAATAATCAAGTTTCAAAAAATAAAAAAACTAAGTAGATGTATTGTGTTGCCCACTGATGCACAACTGCCAACATGTTAATACAACAGACATCCCATCCATAAGTGTATATATCGTAACAAAACTGCTAGCATTCTATGTGGCATATGCTGAGTGTGAGTCATAGTCACACAGGCATAGAACTGATCCTGTAGGCCTAATTAAAGCTGACCAGGGACCCTGTATGGGTAAATTAATCATAGCTACTTGCAGGTACTGGGAAATCCCTCCCACGTCCTATGTGTATGATCTGCCTGTCATGCAGGGCTACAATTACCACCGTAGGGATTAGAAAGATTCAAATTGGCTGGGTGGGATGGGGGAGGTCGCAATAATTGTGTGTTCAACAGGCTTATAACACAGTGGTACATGTACAGTGTGCAAAATTAAAAAACAAAATCATTTGGATGAGACCAAAACTGCCACATGTGATATCATGTAAATTACAAAGATTTGATCCATATGATGTCTTGCATTTTGGTGCAAATGCAAACCTTAATCAATGTTGATGCCAACAAAAATTAGTGTGCACTTGTGGGTCATCCATGATTTTTACCATCCTGTTCAATATACTCCTTCCTTTGACCCCCTCCCCTCTTTCGAAAGCATATGCAAGAAAGGGATGATGGCTGATCAACCTTCTCCCAAGTTTTCAAGCATGAACAAGCCATAATATTGCTCCCCATCGATGCTTGCGAAAAGGATGCAAAACAAATTGATGACGCCAATCTCAAACAAGTATGGTTCCGAGAGTGAGCCAAAAGTTCAATAAGAGAGTCAAGCAGACTTCCTTCATTTGGTTTCAGTTGCTTGCCAGTACTGAAAGCAAAAGAAAAAAAGCACACAGATACCGGTACGTGAAACACAGATGGTCTGCTTGTATTTCTCTTCAAGAGACAATTTCATTAGAACAACAAAGTATTGTGGAACAGGGGTACTGCACACTTCCTGTACTTGCACTGTATTTGTACATACAGGAAAGGCTGCATTTCAGTGAGTGTGTGATTCTAAGAAGTTAGAATGATAACCAGAGAAAACAAAAACGATCTAACAGTATATGTACACAGATATATATACGGGTACCATGCTTATGGTCATTGTCTGCATTAAACTCTACTGAACCAGAGCACACTTTATCATTGTAATAAATCTCATACTGCCAACTATTTATACATGTACATTTATCCACTGCGTTTACACTTGATCCGGCGCGAGGGATTAGATTCGGATCAAATCGTGTGTAAACACAGCGCAGGATCAGATCCTGATCCCGGGATCTGATCCTCCTCTTGGGAAGGATCAGATCCAGATACGATCCTGGAATTTGACATAACTACATCCGGTGCAAGCCTTGAAGCGAGCAAAAAACAAGTCTGTGTCATCGTGAAGACCTACATGTCATGTATACTTACATGACATTGTACACGCACCATACATATGCTGTTGGTACTGCCGCTACGTACATAACCAGCATTACGCTGGTTCCCAATTAAGCCGGAGTGCTTTTGTCCTGTCAGTTGGTAGTAAACTGGTACTTGCCCATTCCCATGCTTTATCCACGTCCCCTTTAGTGACTTTCGTTACTGCTGCATATTGCATCGTTTCATCTGAAACTACGTAAGATAAGACAATGAGACGTATATACAGCGAGTAAGTACACGTAATATTGGCTGACATTTTGCTCCAGTGCGCATTATCAGTGAACTGTTCACATAACCTTTGCCCTGAGGTTGCAGTGCTTCATCCATGCCAGGCAGGATCAGGATCCAGTGTAAATGCGGCACAGATCTGATCCCCTGCTTGATTGCTCTCGCTAGATCTGATCCTCCTTTGCAGGATCAAGTGTAAACATGGCGTAGGCAGCTGAAGTTTGCATAAATATATATGCACATGTATCACCCCTTGGCTGGAGTCAGGTTTTGCTTCAATATGTACGTGGCAACATTACTTTTAACCCTAACATTCCTCAGTCCTCCAACAGGTGAAGGATTGAGGACTGTTAGGATTAAAGAGGGTTGAAATTTCATTTACATATAATATTCAGGAGTAGTAATTATCATTTGGTTCATACAAGTTTCTTTGTTTTGCTTTTGTACTGATAGTCAGTCACAGTTGACTAGCCACTGGTAGGCAAAAAAACATGACTGATGTACTGTAGTTAGAGAGTTGTATGAGATTAAGTAAAACCCTCCTATGCATAGTGCTGTCACCAAAGAGTTGCCAAAACTGAATGTTTGCCAGATTGGATGGTTTGGAAAGGTAGGAAACTATGCAATAAACAGGGAAGTGTGAACATTTTTGAAAGGTGAAACAACTCTTTAAAGAAACTGTTGTGTGGAATGTCAAGGGTGAAATTATACTAATTATTGGTCCTGTGGAAAACCATACTGTTGTGAGCATAGATTGTGGTTGCTAGGGAAGGGGAAGCCAACTTTGAGGACTGTTTGATTTTATTCAAGGCGAGTATTTAATAACCAGATACAAAACAGCCACGTGTTTTTTAATTTTAATTAGGCACCAAAAAAGAAAGGAAAAAAGTTGATGTCTTTTCTCTGAATGATAATTTTAAAAACATTTTAAAAGGTTTTGAAAGGTTCGACCATTTATGTCTAAGCAACAGTAGTGATATTTGGCTGAGCAACTACTCTACCTCTGAATTCCTTTTGAAAGGTTTGGGAAGATCTGGCCATTTTCTGATAGAAAACCACCATTCCTTTGTCACAGCGGTATTCCATAGCCAAATTTTTTTGCAATTCAATGCCTTTCAAATTGTACAAATTTTGGAATGTTTTAAAAAGTTTTTATCATTTATAGCCATCTTGACAGTAAACAGATTTTGAAAGGTTTTGAAAGGTAAAACAACAGGAGAGTTTGTACTGCATATAATGCAAAAAAGCAGTATTTTATACAAGAAAACTCATCTTGCTACTTGCATTACCATGACAAAAACAAATATTTAGCAGTGAAAATATACATGTACATGTACTTGGCATCTACACAAAAGTGAAGTCAAACATTTCAAAAGCAATGCAAGGCCCTAAGTTAAACAGGAAAATACACAGGTATAAAGTGACAAGTTGGAACTTGTATTTGTTGAGTTTGCACAGAACAAACAAACTTCTGACCTCTGTGGATGTATCACAGGTAACCTGTGATCCATAATAAATAACTTTGAGGATGCATGTATGTATGTTGTACTTCCTGGTGAACCTTTGTGAAAATTTAATTTCGTGACTCAATGTTATGCCATGCCCTTAAGACATAACTTTCCCACAAATGCACAAAATATTTGAGAATTTGAAGTTTTTCATTTTAAGATGGCAAGCAAAGGTGATCAGTTTGCGATAGCACCATGTAAAATATCTCCTTTGTTGAATGTGTGGTTCTGATAAGAACCGGAGAGAACTCAACATTTTGAACTGTATGCTCTGTTCGTCATCAGTCTCCTGGTCAACAAGCACAGAGCACACCATTCAAAATGTTGACTACTGTCCAGTTCTTATCAGAACCACACATAATCACAAAGTATTCATTTCTCATACATACATGCATCTTCAAAGCAATACTTTTCTAGTCCAACTTTCAGAACTATTTGTACACAGTACCTGCATTTGAATGCTTGTTTTCTATCTCCACATAATCTGTACATGTACATGTACATGTATGGACATGGACATGTACATGTATAACCCTATGCAGATATTTAGCAGTGCAAATATACATGTTGCTTCTTCATGGGAGTGACACTGAGGAATTTTGAAGCAATCTTTTCATTGAGTTGAAGTTGAAAGCATGATGGGTGTCTGGACTTCTTTTGCATTATGGGTCTGCTTGTTTCAAATGGATCTGAATCTCGATCAGTGATCCGTCATTGGTTTATGGACACCAAATATTGCATAATACCGGTAGATGGTGCCAATCGGCATTAGGATCACTGATCGAGATCAAAATCTGTGTGAAACAAACAGGCCCGAAAAGTTACAGAACATCCCACAATGCCACATTGGACAGATTACTTTATGTTAATTCACGAAATCAGCAATTTCATTGCCCTGTTTGGCAATCTAAGGCAAATCTCGATAACTAGTTTTCAAATGCAGACCAAATCCCTACATTTAGTAATGATTCACCACCACATGACATATAGAATACTGACTTCACACATTTATTTGCACCCAAATTGAAGCCGTTTTCACCTTGCCGAGGGAGTAATAAACATCATGGACCTTTATGATCACCGCGGGTTGTGAATTTCATGCTAACAATGCAGGTACACTACAGTCACATGTACAGTGTATGTGTCGGTGATCGCAACTCATGAAATCCAGACGAGTACAGAGGAAGAGATCCACATCCAGCCACCGTGACTCTTGAGTTTAACAAACACCAACAAGTTTTCGAAGTATGTCCTACATGTATATGTACATGTAAAACACCAAGTTCCTCTAACAATTTCAATTTTTCCCAGCTAAATGGGCTCGCCTTCAAATCAAAGAAAATACATGTACAATGTGAGTTGGAATCTGTTGCTTGGTAGCCAGTACATGTACTTGCACATGGTGGCCAGAAACACAACTCTTGCCAACTACAAGCAATAGCCAAATATCATATTTAAAATGATGCACTCAAGAAAGTTTGTTTAAACTTTCAAACACAATCTACACCTTTCAATTCTTTCTTTTGTACATGTAACATATGTAACCTTACATACACCACATACACCAGAATCCCGCCTCTAACGAACTGGACAACTAGTACTACATATTGACAGCTAACACTAGTATAATATGGCTGATCCAGCATCCCTGTATAACTTGTGATACTTACATGTACACATGAAAGCCATGCAAATGCTTCCTGAACATACTGAAATATAACCAACCATGCTGACCAACAGTCATCAGCTACAAGCACTTGCAGCTGATCCATCAGATTAAGGCTAAAACACAATCTATTCATAGTAATCGCCACTTACTTAATTAGGCCCCCCTCCCAAAGTCTCCAGTTTGTGGTCAGGGGTTGCCTCTAGAAGTGGTGCGGCGACTGGGTTTTTTGGATTTTGCCCTCACTTTTTTTTTCCTGGAAATGATGTACATGTACACACATATATGTGCAATATGAACACAGGGCCTTGCTACTGAAATAGACTGGCCCCTCATTATTTACTGTTTAAAAGCGTTTTCAGCTTGTACAAGTTGTAGATAAGACATAAGACCAACTCATTTGTCTGGTTTCCAGATGTAATTGTATGATATAGAAATGACGTCATCTGAAAAATCCCAATTTGTGGGTTTTTCACAAGCCTTCAGGGGCAAACACTGAGTATACGTCCGACCCCACAGTTCTGGGGGTAGGGCCTAGCCCTTTTTTGACATCAACTTGTACTACAGTACAGTCAAGACAGTTAATGGTTATTAACATTGAGCATGATGTCACAGCAATCCACCAAGGTGAGTTCGAAAGTGAAATGCGGCTCTTTAAGAACAGGGTCCTCAATCTCCATAACAAGAGCACAGGCCTAAATCCCGGAATTTCCCGAGCTACCACATCGGTTACGCCACATTCACTGACGAGACACAAATCGGCTGTCTGACTGGCTATAATAAAGCTACGTACATGTGTACAAATGTACACAGGCCTCTGCCTGTGCCGCGTGTACGAGTATAGGCTAATAGGCCTAAGGTAAGGGGGGCCTACATCATGTAGGCCTACGTGTTTCACGGAACGGAGTTTATCTTTTCGCCGAAATCAATCACATAAAAACGCTAGGCCTACTGAAATAATACGAACTCACTGAGAGGCCACCGACAAACTGCAATCTCTTATTTATCCACTACGTACACGATTACTGGAGAAAATGCAACGAACGCTGAAGCACGGTTCTCTAAAAAAGCCTATGTTTTGGCCGTCAAACGGTAAACAAGCCACATACGGTAAACCCCCCCACACACACCTACCTCCACAAAATGGCGGCTACGTTTGATTGGCAGCTTTCAATACGTGATGTCATTTGCAACTTCCAATCACGTGATACAGTGGGAGGAGTCACCCTGCAAACTACTATTCATGAAAAATTCCAGTAAGCACGAAATACTCTCTCGGCCTGCCTTCGTTTAAAAGAAAAGGAATCACGCACACTTCAGTTTCCAAATAAAAAACGAAGAAAAAATGTGTTTGGAATAAATATAAAATACTGAAAAAAAAAGAATGCCCTTCGATAGCTTTCGTAACATTCATTTTGAAATCAGGTGCAAGTCAAATCAGTCATTATCAAAGAATACGTTTTGGTTTCGAATCATAGGGAGAAACAGTTTGTAGAAACGGCTTTTAACGTCGAGAGGAAATTGTGTGTTACGTCATCTACGATTTCATTTCCTTTTCTTTACACTACATGTATTCAGTTCCTTCCAACAAAATGCTTAAGAGTTATTAATTTCAATTTTAAAACAAAACTGTGAAGTTGGCACACACGAAAAATGAAAGACGTGATCTTTCACTTCGCAAGAGAGTCAAGCTTCAGGTCCCACTAGATGAACGTAAAGAGTAAAGACTGATTCCGGCAGACGCATTTTTATGTTTTTCTCTTTCCTTTTTCTCTTTGTTTTAATAATGTCCAATGCTATTCACTGTTTATGTGAAGACAGGCATGCAAATGCGCAACGTATACATGTACATGTACATTTACAAACCATTACGTGCATGGCACAAGGCACTGACGAGCGCAGTACGATGGTCCTGTATTGCAGTCGTAAGCAATCTCTTTATCTGTGATAGATTGTTTTGTCGGGGTTCTTTGGGGGCGGGACATGCATGCTTGCGTTTTGAGGGGATAAACTAAGGAGCAAATGTGTGGGACTTTTCAAATGTGCTGTATTTAAAGAGGAATGGGCTTATTCAATGACAAACTTCAACAACCTCAACTTCAGTTTGGTGATGATTTACCAAAGTGAATTTGCAACCGATGGTGAAATGGAAAGTTGTCCCTTTTGCTCAGGATTGGAAAGTTCAAAATCCAGGAATTTTTAGGGTTGGTCGTATTATCGTGCTTCTCAAATTTTTTGTCTGATTGTTGCAGTCAGGAGGACACATAGGTGATGCATTAAACTTTTTATCGATATACAAAAGATGACACTGTGGGGTGTCATCTTTTTTTATTGTCACTGTAATTCTTAATTTGTTTATTATTATTATTATTTTTTTGTCATTTTTCCCCTTCCCCTTTTTCTTCATGCTTCATTTTTGGTTTTGTTATTGTGTGTATCAGAGCAAAGGGATGCCAGTGGCGTATTATCTTAGCTTGTCACCCAGCGCCGGAACAAGGCGCTTGGAAGGATTGATGGCTGAACACAGGTGTTCTGGTCCCGCTTTTCATGGGAAAAAGTTCTTACCAAATGCAAAAGCATCTAAAAAAAACCACCAAAAACCAGGGTACTCTTCAACGCATTTAAAATACCAGAAACGAAATGTAATGATTAAGTGCTTGTGTATGAAGTGAATGACAAAATGGCTTCGCTTTTACAACACAATGCCAAGAGACGATTTTATCACAGTTAGCTGGTGCGGTTCTAGAGCCATTTTTTTGGGGGGGGCGGGCTAGACCCTTCGCACGTGGCGTTACCTTTGAACTTTCGCTAATGGTCTTTCACTTTGGTAGAGAAAAAGGAATCTAATGTATATTACGCATAATGACCCTGCAAAATGATCATGAACTATTCATTTAATTTTTTAATGCGAAAATTGCGAATCCAATATTTTCCAGCCTTTTTTGTTCACTTTTTTGGGCGGAGTTAGACGAAAATTTTGGGGGCTCCCCCAGCTCCCGTAAAACTGCGCCTGGTAGTTTAGGACGAATCAAGTCGCCATGTACGTTTTCTCGGTGGTCCGGTTGCGTACACACGCACCACCACCAAAGTGTTCGAGCGCCCTCTTGAGTTACAAATAAAGTAAACTATGCACATGTACACTGGTCCCACTTCATGTCGCTTTTTGGTACGCGAGAACTCGGAGGGAACCCGGTGCATACGAGATATGAAATAAACAAGCATGCATTTTCGCGCATCCATAACTTGCACGAGCTCATGTGCATGCATGATGCGCATGAGATAATGCACTCGGTTCGGTGGCATGCCTGGACTTACCGTGAAGATTTTGATCCGAGAGTTGTAATCGTTTCACTATTTAAAGACGATTTTGTGAGAAAGGCAAGCTCTAGTATTTTGACATCATGACAAGCCCACTTGTTCTTCTTCTTGGCGAAGTACTCCTCAATAAACAACGTGAGAAGGTGGACGTGTCGTCGTTGGCCGGGGAGGGGAGAGTCATCGGCCTGTATTTCGCGGCGCACTGGTGCGCCCCGTGCCGGGAGTACACGCCGATCTTGAGCAACTTCTACAACAGTTTCAACAGTGAACACGGGCAAGGGGGTGGGAAAAGACTTGAAGTTGTCTTTGTGAGTTCAGATAAGACAGAGCAACACTGCGATGAGCACTTCATGCAACACATGCCCTGGCTGTTGCTTCCTTTTTCAGAAAGACATGTCAAGGTATTTATCAAGAATGTAAATACATGTACATGGTCAAATGTAACTAGCCTCCACTCAAATCTAGTACTATGAATAGTATACATGTGAGTGTACATGTAGGATTTTTACTTATGTATTTCAACCAGATTATACATGTAATTTGTCCCTGTTGCTTGTTCCCAAGTGAAGTGCTTTGTTCATAGCAAAATCTTAGTTTCAAGCTTACAAGTATTTTGATTGCTGAAAATTGTGTCAACTTTGGATAGGTGTTCGGTTATTAATGCTAGGAGTGATAAGTTTCTGTTTCTATTTTCTAATTGACTGGTAGCCTACATGTACATCTACATTTAGGTCATGCCACCATGATCGGTCTGTTGCTTTTTCCTTGTAATTCTCAGCTCTGGTAAATCATTTTGAAAAGGTGAAGTAGACTCGGATATTTTCTGTATGATTAACCAGTAGCACAATGTTGATAGCCGAAGTCCACTGATATTGATAACACGCACAACAGTTACATCCAAAAGGTGCAACAGCAATCCATGTGCTATATGCCAACTGGGAATTGGAATTGTTTATATTGTGAAAGTTATGGTAGAGTTTCATATATGGACATCACTTAAGTTCCCTTGCAGTAGTTTATAAACATGCCCAAAAAAGTCAAATGTAGCAGTGAAAATGTGGAATCATATACATTTACATGTACTTAGCAAATACTCAGAATTTTTCAGACTGGGCTCATACATGTCATAGGGTTTGTGCACAGGGTGTCAAGTGATGTCTGTACGTGTACTTGTATATGGAACACTTTCCAAAGTGATAAAGGAAAGATTTAAGTATCATATTCCTCCAGATTTGTGAGTGTCACAAACACCAGCAAGTTCACCCTACACTCTAGTATGTTCATGCCCCCAGAGACAACGTTCATTTACAAACGTGCATGTGCACTTCATTTTCAACAATGGTTTTTCGTGAGAGCAGATTTTTTCAATGACTGACCTGGTAAAATACCGAAGTGTTGCAGCAAAAATAAATGTTGGGAGGATGTAAACATAACACCACGAACACACATTTTTCCTCCTTTTGTTAGATTTTTGAGTAACGGTAAATCTCGAAAATAATATAAAAAGGTGAATTTTTACTGACCCTTTTTACCACTCAAAAATATCAAATTGCAAAAATTTGTACTGACTTCATAAAGTAGAAATTTCTAAGTGAAAATAAGTTTTCTGAGACAAAAATTCTTGCACCAAATTAAAATTTCACCCTTAATGCATTGATTTTACGCATTTATTTTGAACCAGCCAGACGAAATTTTCATTAAACAGGCCATTTTGAATCACCCCTAAATCGTATTGATCCAACGGTGTACAAAAATTCAAACCCAGTTTGTGTAGATTTTTATTACCAAAGTTGTATCCAACACTAGGATGATGATTTTCTGTTAGATTGAACTGATTTCATCAGTACTGATGCCATTTCTTAAGGTAATTCGTCGTCAATGAAACTCCCAACATCACAGTGGTCGCATTCTCCTCAGCACAAGTGCATAAATATGTACATGTCACCTGTACATGTAAATGTGTACACCTGTAAACATGCATACTCAACTGCACTTGACATGTGACTTGCTGTAAAAATGTTTCTCAAAAGTCTGCACTTACTAGAGTATGGTGCAAGGATATCCTCTTTTTGTTAAAGGTTTGACAAAGTTATAACTCCTGACTCTAAGAATTAAGTTTTATTAAGACATAAAATAATCATAGAACAGATACTAGTATGTGACAAATGTTTCCATTACAAATGTCTGGATTCTCACAGTTTGGCGTGAAAATTTGGTTCAAATTAAAACTTACTTTACAAAAACTTGCAACCGGTGGATTCCCAATTTTTGCATGCAGTCGATTAAGACAGTCTTCTACTTTATATGAATCTAGTTTTTATAACCAGGAAAACTCATTTTTAATAGATATTGATCAAATTTGGCAACATTCAAGTTTTTCAGGTGAATAAATCAAATAATTTTTGGGTTATTTAAAACCATATTTTTCATTTTCATTTTTGAGGCAGGGTACAAAATCAGTTCCACAGAAAATATAACGATTAATGTAATTTGGATTTGTCATCAAAAATTTCATTATTTATGCTGGGTTTCCTGGAATTATCCATTAACAAAGAGGATACCTGATTTTGCAGTCAGAGTGCGTGAAATCAGACATAACGTGTACCGGTAGCCTGTTGCTATGCTATTAACTGCAAATCTTGCACAGGTGCACTTTGGTAAGGAGCACTATGAGCATGCCTACACTGCACTGAACCCCCTTTCTTTTGCCCCTCCCCCCTAAACTTGCTGGTGCTTGTGTCTCTCAAAAAAGTGATGGTTGTCCTGACGGACTCAAGTTCATGTGTTAATCAATCAGGGAGCTTTCATTGCGTGAGGTCACAGCGAGGTGAAAACATGGTTGACTTGTGGTAATGTACATGTACATGTAGCGGTTTGTTTCACTGCCGAAAAGGTCATGAAGTTGCCAGATGTCACAGAGAGTTGTGTCCTTGCATACAGACTTATAGTGTATATCTCATTCTTTCCCCAAAATAAAAACCAAAAAAATTCACTATTGTCGGGAAGAAATGTATGTACACGTACAGTGTATCTCTGCTGTGCAGACATGGGAATGAAATGATCATAGTTTTTCTCATGGGACTGATGCATATAAATTGCTCAATTCAAGATGTATGATAGCAGTTTGCAAATACATGTATGTGACACAACTTACACTGTAACATGTCTGTAGCCATAAATAGGGGTACCACATGCCTTATTTAAAGCAATGTGTACATGTACATGCTATCTGGGTCATTCCAGAATTTGGGGGTCCAGTTTTTTTGTGTCCCTGTCATGTGATTTGTAAGTTCAGAACACATTTTCTAATTTCCAAGAGTGATGAATTCATTGCAAATTACCTGCCAAACAAATAGTAATAGTTCGAAAACAATTCCAGTGATATTTCCATGTCAAATAAAAAATGTCAGATGTAACAGGGACACGAAAAAGTCACACTTTTGGATCCCTAATTTCTGAATTAACCATCTACATGTACATATATGTACTGGTACATGTACATGTAATAATACTTTTGTACATGTATGCTACAGTACATGTATATACATGTACCTGTGAAGGCACATGTGCACAAATCTTTCTCAACTCTGCACAGTTCTGAACAAGAATGGAAGCTTGTTTTGCCATCTTTTAAAGGTTCGGTACCTTTATGGCATTTCTGTCAGACCAAAATCCCTTCCATTGTCATGTATACAAATGTCGAGCAAGGCCTCAGGTTGTAAACAGATCTCATACATGTACCGGTACTTTGGGTGCTGATTAGCCTAACTGGTAGGTTCTGTCTCCATAAATGGTGTGAAGCTGGGGAATTCTTTAGAATCGTTGAAATTGGCTCTGCAGTCATATGCATCAGAACTCCTAGGTAACTTTACATGTATAGGGATTACAGGACTTGAATCAAGAACGTTTGGAAACCTAGATTCACATGTACCGGTACATGTGCTGTATGTGATTGTACATGTACATGTACGTGTGTATACATGAAGTACCCCGTGTAACATCAAACAGTGCACAGGACATGTCTTGAGTGTTTGCATATTGAGCTTGGTCACTTTTTGGTTGGCTTTGTTGACTGTCACTGATGCCCAGTAAAATTTGGCCAGTATTATTGGTGCATGAAACCAAGACACTCTGGGACTTGTTCTTTCTGTTAGTGGAACCAAGAATTCCGGACTGACCATCTAGAAATGAGAAAGTGAAAGAAGATACTCAAAAAGTTTTGTTCATGTAGAGTGAGTAGAAACTCTTGTAATGACATGAGGCAGGGATTGAAAGCCTAATCCACCTGGGTGAAATTCAAAGCCAGGCCGCTAAGGTTGAGGGGAAGGAGAAGAAAGAGTACAGCCTGACTGCCTCCTCCATCACGTAACTTTTCTCCCAAACTTCAAACCCGGCCCAAACTGATAGAAACATCTGAACATCCACACATCATCAGATGTTCCCTTTTGTAGCTTACAAGTTTACTATTAACCCCAACAGTCCTCAATCCTCCAAAAACCTGTTAAGTGGTTTTGCAGGAATAGGGCTGTACCATATTTGTGGCTGACTGCGATGGATACACCGTGTCAAAGTCTTGGGTTAGACATTTACATGTACATGTATGCTCACCCATGCATTACGCGTACTTAACATGTAGGCCTACATGTAGATTAGATGCTTGAAATCATCCGCACTGCTCCAGGATATCATTTGCACTGCTTCAACATGTTGACAGGAATTGCTGGGGGGATTTGCAAAGGTTGAGCATAGAGCTCTGTTCTAGCTCTAGTTTGAGGCAGGGCTTACTCCTTCAAGGAATACATTCATGAAATAACAGGATTTTAGTGCATGGAGGTTACTGTACATAAAGTACACATGTACAGGTTTATTCCTTATGAAAGGAGTATGAAGGATTGAAGATGCAGCCAGCTAGATAGGCTTCGTTGATAATCAGGTTGATGATCAAATATGGAAACGAGTCCTGTCATCCTATTTTCTTCCTAAGGATACTCATATTATTTGCTCCTGTGGATTTAATTGTAACAAAAATGGAGTTTTTATGATAATATCACAAATTACATCTATCCAGTTTACTTAGATAAGGGAGTTTCAAAACAAATTAAAGTACATTGTGTTCCCTTGTCCACATTTTAAAAAAGCAGACATTCAATGAAGTAAAATTTAACGTAAAATTTAGGAAACCGTAGAAAGTACTGGTCACTGACCTCCCCAGGATGCATAACCCACACTTCAGGGGAAAAAGGTTAAACCTGGCCACAGAGGAGGAGCCTGTGGGAAACGCTGTGAGTTGTCAGGAGATGTCATTTCTAAACTGAAAAGTATGTCCAAATTGAAACTGATAGTAGTTAGCAAAGGGCATCTAAGCTTTAATACGATCTCTCAAGCTTATGTAACAAATAGT